ATGGTGGAGGGTATAAGAAAACATTAACTTCGGGGGCCGAACTTTCAATATCCTCAACCTTCGGGTAAAGGAAACACAATCATCAACATACCGAATATCGGGAAGTAACTTTATATGGGGGCTATACCACATCGTGGAACTATTCATGCAATGTTTCGCCACCGGAGATAGAACCCTTTATGGCCAAGAAATACTAATTTTTAGACAAATCTGTGAAAAAAATGTGGCAAAGATAATTTAAATACCGAATATCGGGAGGTACCGTTATATGGGGACTATACCAAAACGTGGACCAATATATCTCATTTTCAATACCAACCATCCTAGATACAGTACAAATTGTTCTGCTAAATTTTGACGCTCTACCCTCCTTTCCAGGGTGGAGGGTATAAAAAATAATTAAAATACCGAATATTGGGAGGTACTGTTATATGGGGGATACACCTATGTATGGGTACTTTTCCGTCATATTAAGCAGCACTCACGGTAAACTCCAAATTCTGAATTTAAAAAATGCATCCTCCTGATTGGGTGATTTGAATGGCTATGCCTGTAATACTCAAGCAGGTATTGCACAGAAAATATTTTGTTGTTGTGACGCACGACGAGGACTCATTAAGTCTACATTGTCGCGACGTGAATCATCAAAATATCGAATATAGGGAGGTGCAATCATATGGGGGCTATACCTAAACGTGGACCTATATAGCTCATTTTCAATACCAAAAGTCCTGCATACCAAACACATATGTGACTAAAAATTTTTCAACCGGACGCTAGATTTTTTGTTCGGATGCTAGAGTTTTCCACAGACGGACGGACAGACAAGGGGTCGGACATCGCTAAATATATATATATATATATATATATATATATATATATATATATATATATATATATATATATATATATATATATATATATATATATATATATATATATACTTTGAGGGGTCTAAAATTGATGTAGGTTTACATACAAATCTCGATCATCTCATGGTAGTTGTAAAATCATGCCTAGTGATGGGCGTCGAAGTGTTCAGGGAAAAACTTTGACATTTCCTTGTATTGCAGGCTATCACCTTGATTTGATCTATCTAGAGTGGTATTTAAATCATCCCTATATAAAAATCACAATCCAACATCAGACTTAAAAGAGTTAAAATACGTATTGCCTGCAGTTGTTTATTTAGTCATTGTCGTTTGTTTTTATAGCTGTCGTAAATCAAATTAATGAACAGTGCACTGCTGTTGCTGTTGTTTTATTGACAAATAAAATAAAATATTTTCCGTAGCTGTTGTTGTTGTCGTTTTGTTCACTACATTAATGTGAAATGCTCTAATGCAATCACAAAAAAAATATAATTTATAAATGGCTAATTAATACTCATCAATAGTTTATTAAAAATGCAATTAAATAATTTGTTTAAGCAAAGCGAAACGCAAAAAAGAGCATATTTATGTGTGTGTGTGTGTGTTCATTCATGCCTTCCAGTTTTCAAAGGAACTTGCCGATGGCCGATCAGCCCATTTCGTGGAACCATGTTAATAATTGTGTTTTGTTTTATGTCAACGATAAGATTTGAATTTTAATTTCAAAAACATGTCAGAAACACCCTAAGCTGCCTAACATTGCTATGTGGGTAGGAATGCTAGAAATTGACGATACAAATCGGTGGTTACATTTTTGTCTTCAAACTCTTCACACATAAATCAATTTCTTAATTGCCTTTAATATACCTCTTTTTTGTAGAACAAACAGATCGTAAAAATATTTAATTAAATGAAACATTTTTTGTTTAGTTTTTATTAATTTGTAATACACTTGGCATTGTTAAAGTTTGTCGACCACTCTCGCCAAAAAAAATTTAATAAAAAAAATTGCCGTGGGCTGACATATAATTACATTCAAATTCAATAAAAAGTCTGACATTATGCAACATTTTTTAAAAAAGTCCACTAGAATAAATAGATTTTAACAAATCGCATAGAGACACTAATTTTTTTCATTTCTCCGAATTGTGGATTTAAAACCATTCGGCTGTCTTTATATGGGGGCGCTTTATCACATGTCCAACATTATAGTGTAACGTTTGTACTTTTGTACATATGTATTTTAGAAGCAAGTAAAACGCCTACAGTGGGCCTGGCCGATTATGACAAAAAGGAAATGTTGTTATTGCTTTAAATAATATTCTTCGACAAGCCAATCCATTGGGCAGTAAGAAGACAATAATACAATACCTTCCATGAGAAACACAAGCCTTTTAAACTAAACAAGTAAAAAAGCCTGGGCGACCTTTTTATACCCTCCACCATTTGGAAGGAACTTGAAAAAAAAATCCGTCGAAAAATACCGCTCAAATGAAATCCGTTACATGTGGGCTATATAAAGACGTGCACCGGCATAGACAACCGTCATAGGTTGTAGTATCCACTACGAACATTAAATACGAAATTTGAAACAAATATGGTCAATACTGTACCATTGTATGGGCTGTGCGATATCGTGGACCTATTTAGACAATTCTCTTACAGTGGGTAAAGTACTCAGAATGAGCTGACTGCAGACAAAAGACTTATCTGTGCAAAATCTTAGCTTCCTATCTTAATTCGTGGTTACATTTTTTGATGGAGGTTATAAAATAGCAAAATGTGAACCTATACATATAGGCAATGATCTGCAATAAGAGGTATCAGCCATTATGTAACCTAATTACCAAATTTTAAACAATTTCATTTTAAACTATTAAAAAAGCTGCTAAATTCGGCCCGGCCGAACTTTTTATACCCTCCATCATTTGGAAGAAACTTGAATCATTTCAAAAATTTCCGCAAAAAAATACCGCTCAAACAAAACCCGTTATACGGGGGCAATACGAAGGCGTGGTCCTGTATAAGTAATTTGTGTCATAGGCTGTAGTAACGGTTCCAAACTTTATATACGAAATTTAAAGCAATTCCGGTGAATAATGTCGCAAAATTCATGAAAATACCGAATATCTGGGGTACCGTTATACGGGCGCTATACTAAAACGTGGGCCTGAGGGGGTAAAGTACTCAGAAAGAACCCCTTTTGTGGATTTTAAGACAATTCCATTGAAATATTGGGCTGAAATCATTAAAGTACCGAATATGGGGGGTGCCGCTATATAGGGACTATACGATATCGTGGACCTATGTATTCGCTTCTGGGGGATAAAGTTCTCACAAAGAACTCCTTGTTTAAAATTTCAGACAATTCCATTGAAAACTGCGGTTAAAATCATGAAAATACCGAATATCGAGGGGTACTTATATATATGGGGGCTATACGATACCGTGGACCGATATAGCCCAACTTCCAACTTGACCTGCCTGCAGAGGAAAGACACATATTTTACCTTCCTATCATTATTCGTTTTGACTCTAGCGTGATTTCAACAGACAGTCGGACGGACAGGAATTTTACGTTGATCAAGAATATATAAACTTTGTTAGGTCCAAAATTATTTTTTCGATGAGTTACAAACAGAATGAGTAACTTAATATACGCTCCATACTATGTATGGTGGAGGGTATAAAAAATGTTGCTTAAATCATCCAAATTCCGTGCCAAGTCTGAATGGAATCGGATGTTAATTTCTCGTTTTATGAGCTTAATGGATATTCAAAATGTTGGTCTTTGTGGGGGAGGTACCAGAAGGAGTGGACCGATGATGGAATATATCACACCAGACCTTAGGTTAACAATATTAATATTGTGATATGTATAATTCGAAGACAATCGGATACTTACATAACATTTTATAAGAGTTTTAGTTATTCAAACTTTCGACCCTTTGTGGGGGAGGTACTTGATGGAGTGGACCGATATTGTTCATCTCCGAACTCGATCTAAGTTTGACAATAATATTACGATATACCAAGTTTGGATCAAATCGGATACTCCCTTCGAGAATTATCGTGCGCACCAGCCAGACATATAGACAGACGGACGGACATCGCTAGATCGAGTCCAAATATCCTGAAACGGATTTGGCCCAAAGAGACCTAGCGTCTAAAACTGGTAACTTTTTGGCCGTATCAAATGATATATACCTATAGCCATATGGCTGAGGGGATAATTAGAAAGTATGTTTGAGTTTTTTTTTTTTTTTTTTTTGACAAAATTGATACAGACATCTTGCTGATAGGTATAATGTAAATATAGAAAAACTGTTATTTATTTTCACCGATTTTCGGCTTTAAGCTAAGTTATGGTGTATTTTTAGACCTATAATAGAATTTTATGACACACAATTTGGTATTTTCATCTGATTCGATAACATATTAATAGAGTTTTGGAACCTTAAAAAAAAGCCTTAAAACACACTCTTTTCAGCACACTTATTTTACAAAACGATTCCCCGGGTTTTTGCTGGTGATATTGCCTAGGACACTACGTGCCTAAAATGCATAGATTCCAGGGAAAATTTACTCGAATATTTTTAAACATGTAAAAGGGAGCGGGACTTTATTTACCAAATACTAAATTTTGAAACGAACTGATCTATTTTCAATATCGAAGAACATAACTTTAAAATAAATATAAAACGCTTATTTAACCCTCTTAAATTTCCAAATATTTTGTAAATTCAAATAATGATTTGCAAAAATGCAGGCGGATGTGTTTACCCAACTTGTGCTTTGGCGTGAGAATGACGCGACATAATGTCTCGCCACAAGGTGCTGACGGAAACAAGCAAAACATTTTTAACTAAGTAAAGAAAAAGTTGTTTGAAAAAAACAAAACAACAAAAACGTTTTCTAAATGTGACGACAAAGTTTTCTTCAAGTGACAGCCCGACTTTGCCGAGGAGTAGACGCCGAGTCAACGACACTGCCATCGCCACTACGTGTTTAGTTATTAAATAAAACCAACTCCATGTCTGTGTGTGCGTGTGTGTGTGTGTGGTGCGCACATTATCCTTTAATTATAAATATTTAATTTTATTTGTATCGTTTTTGTTATCTTTGCAGCTAACACTGTTCACGTATCACACCGTCAATGCTGGCGCTGAGACAGATCCTGTGGGTCCTGTACCCATTGATTCCCTCTTCATTTACCGTCCCGATAAACGTCATGAGCTATGGCGTTTCATGTCCTACATGTTCCTGCATGCCGGCTGGTTCCATTTGGGGTTTAATTTGCTGATACAACTGGTGTTTGGTCTACCACTGGAGATGGTACACGGATCGGGTCGGATTGCATGTATATATTTTTCTGGTGTTTTGGCTGGTTCATTGGGTAAGTAAGGACATTTGTTATCGTCACGATTTGGTTTGTGTGTGTCTATTTATTACCAAGGCGTATTGATGTTTCTGTTTAAAATAATTTAGAATTAAAATGCAGTTTACACAGAAAACGGGACATATTGAACAATTTTATGAGCCTCGTTCGTGTGTAAGACGATTCATGGTTAAATTATAGACCAAATTGAAGATGTTCGATAGTGTAACAAAATACGAAATGTTCGTGAGCTTTTAACACAAGTGTTGCTAAACAGATAGTAGCTAAAAAATCGCCCGATAAATAATTTTTATTCCGGTCACAACTTCCATCGGAAGAGATTGTTTTATGAAGGTATCCCAAATATGGATAGTTTGAAAGTGGACCTGTCACCGTATTTCAACTGGATGGACTACAACTTCGAAATAAAAATAAACATATTTTTTTCGCGAAATTATTTCATATTTTCGCAAGATTTGTCTGTGACCCAACCCAACCCAAATTGAGGAAAACCGAAAGTTAAGATAAAATTTTGCACACATGTTAATTTTTCCAGTAGGCAGGTTAAGTTTGTAAATGGTCAACGTTTTCATATAGCCCCCATATAACGGTACCTCCCGATATTCGGTATTTTGGTGATTTTAGCGTCATTATTCACCGCAATTGTTTCAAATTTGGTGTTTGAAGTTCGTAATGGATACTACAGTCTATGACAGAAAATTGTGTGTGCAATATTCGTTATTTTGATGATTTTAGCGTCATTATTCACTGGAATTGTTTCAAATTTAGAGTTCGTAATGGGAACTACAGTCTGTGACAGAAAATTGTCTATGCAGGTCGAGGTCTTCGTATAGGCACCATATATCAGTACCTCCCTATATTCGGTATTTTGACGAGTTTAGGTACAATACCCACCGAAATTGTTTGAGATGTCGTATTTGAAGTTCGTAATGGAAGCTACAGCCTGTGACCGACAATTGTCTATGCTGGTCCAGGTCTTTGCACAGCTCCGATATAACAGTACCTCCCTATATACGATATTTTGATGATTTGAGCTGCATTATTCACCGTTTATTTCATGTTTCTAATTTGAATATGGTAATGGCTTATGACAAACAATGCCTATGTAGGTCCAGGTCGTATAGACCCCAATAGAAGGGCTATATTGGGTATTTTTAAAATTTTAACAGAATTTTTTAAGGATTTTATTTTTTGAAAATTTCCAAATTCTTTCCAAATGGTGGAGGGAATTCACAGTTCCGCCCGGCCCGGTATATATCATTTATTATATATCATTTGGTTTTAGACCCTAGGTCTCCTTGCACCAAATCCGTTTCAGAATCCGATTTGGTCCAACCTTGGTACATCGTAATATTTTTGGCAAACTTAGATCGAGGTCAGGTGCGAAAATGGACAATATCGGTCCACTCCATCAAGTACCTCCCCCACAAATGGCCAAAATTTTGAATGATTACAACTCTTAAAATGTGATATAAGAGTCCGACTGTCTTCAAATTTCGCACATCGCAATATTTGTGTTAACCCACGGTCTGTTGTTAAGATGGAATATATCGGTCCACTCCTTCTGGTACCTCCCAACAAATGGTCGAAATTTTCAAAAAAAAAAAAATATATATATATTATATTTTTTTTCTGCACAGAAAGAGAATCGATACTTCGATTTTGTTCCAACTTTGCAAATCCTAATATTTACGTCAGTTCTAGGACAGGTTCAAAAATGGATAATATCGGTCCAGTCCATCAAGCACCTCCCCCACAAAAGGTCGAAATTTTGAATATAAGCTCTTAAAACACTAAATTAACATCCGATTTCATCAACACAAGATCTGTTATAAAGATGGTAGAGATCGTACCCTGTCTTCTGATACCTCCCCACATAGGGTTCAAGATTTTAAGAAACCAAAATGCTCAAGGAATTCGAAAGAAGCATCCGAATGCACCCATCCATATCCACAAATTTCCCACAAATTTCGCAAACATTATTGCAAGATCTGTTGTGAAGATGATATACATCTGCCAACCCCCTCTGGTACCTCACCCACAAAGGGTCACAAATTCCAATACTTATATCTGTCATAACTTGCGAAACAAGTCGGCGATTCTTTACAACTTGCTATATCTAAATATTTCTCTTAACCAGTACTCTGATATGAATATGTAATCTGGCGGAATTTATAATTTATCATAAAATTGGATACGAATGTTCGATTTCCTTCCAATTTTGCACATACCAATATTTTTTGTCTGTATTAGATGAAGTATGAAAATAGAATACTTCTGTCCGCAATATCTGTTACATGGCGCATATTTAAATTTTCCGAAGATTTGCACATATCGCATATAACATACAAGAAATAGTCGATATTGTCCAAATCTGTCACGTTCATAACTCAAGGCTGGGGATATACATCTGTCCGCAAAACCGACTGATACTATTTTACTTGTTTTTAATTCCCACGATTTCGGAGTTTAGTATTTCGGTTTAAGCTGGTCATTTGGAACCTCTAAAAACCCCTTTATTAGGGACTCATAATAACTTTCTATCAAATTTCCTCCAATTTCACTAAAAGTTTAATTATTTCTTCTAGGCACCAGTATCATTGATCCCGATGTGTATTTGGTAGGCGCCAGCGGTGGCGTTTACGCTCTGCTAGCTGCACATTTGGCCAATGTATTGATAAACTATCATCAAATGCACTACGGAATTTTACGTCTGGCATCAATTCTGTTCTTTGGTAAGTCCTTTATTTTTTTGAGTATTTTTTTCTTTGATAAAGTTTAACTTAGAAACCAACCATTCGATTCTAATATTATTTCATATATCTGCAGCCTCCTGTGATGTTGGGTTTGCCGTGTACGCCCGTTTCGTTGACGATTATCCGTCCGTATCATTTATTGCCCATTTAACTGGTGCACTGGCTGGCCTCACTATCGGCTTGCTGGTCCTCAAGAATTTCGAACAGAAACTGCACGAGCAACTCCTCTGGTGGATTGTGTTGGGCATTTATACGGCCTGCATCATATTTGCCATAATCTTCAATCTACTCAACAGCACTGTGATGCTACGCCTGAGGGGCCAACCCCTCTACGCCACCGAGACGGTTTATAATCATTTTCAAGTCTGATATTTACTTTTGACTGCCACTGTTGTCCTGGCACTGGGACTGGGACAATTACTGCCGACTCGCCTGAAGGACATATTTATTTATTTATAGTTGGATACGCCCGCCTAACAGAGTTTCAGTTGTTTTGTTTGATTTTTCGTTTCGTTTTGTTGACGTTTTATTATTTTCTCTTTTTTGTCGTAGCTGTTTTTTTTTTTTGCAATGTGAAGTGAATTCAATTAATAACTTTAATTTAATAATAATTCAATTTATTTGTTGCTTTTTTCACATATCTCTTAGCATAGATTCGAAATGCGAGCTTTTTTAATTTTAGTTGTCAGGAAACTCTAACGAAAGAAATTAGACACATATATGAGTTTATATATGAATGTGTATACGAAAACAAAAATAACAAAAATATTAATATTGTACTGCATTTACAGCGAACTATTGCATTTCCAAATAAATATATTTTATTCTAAAATATAGACATATTTTTGGAAAATTCCACAGAAACTGCCATAGATGAAATTTCGAAATTTAGTTTATATCGACTTGTATATCAACTCTATGTTATGCCTAGATTTAAGTATTTAAAACTGAAGTTAATTTATGTAAATATTTCCTAAAAATATACAATAAACAAATCAATAATAATTATTTAAGAAACATTTGATTTTTGTGGTCTGTGACAAGGAACTCAATTTGAAAAGTGGGTATTTGTGTGGGAAGAAAGAGTTTGAAAAATGCCGTAGTTGTATCCACATTTATAACTGTAGCTTTACTTATTCATATAAGACCGAGAATATACTTCTAATCAACAAATTATGAAATGATGCGTTTTTTTAACAATTTTTGACAGTAGTAGCTAATTACAGGTCGACCTGCTAACCCATTATTTTTACAAGAAGTTTCTCAATATCATAAGTAATATTTCTATGGCCACTGTTTAGAAAAATTATGTTCCATTGTACCACACCGTACTTTTCATACCCTACGCCCCATTGTAGTACCGGGTCCTACGCTTGATTATCTGTTTTAATACCATTCTGGGTCGAGAAAAGAGGTTGCCACAGGTCATCCATATCAGCCTTAAAGTAAGTTTTTGTTATTTCCAAAAGTTCGGCAAGCAGCTATACCCTCCACCATTTGGAAAGAACTTGAAAAATCTCAACAAATTCGGAAAAATACCGTTTAAATGATGACCTTTAAACGGGGGCTATACGAAGACGTGGATCAGCCTGAGTAATTTTTTGTCATAGGCTGTAGTACCCTTTAAGATTTTCAAATACGAAATTAGAAACATTTCCGGCGAATAATGTCGCTGAAATCATCGAAATGCCGAATATCGGGAGGTACCGTTATATCGGGACTATACGAAGAACGAAGACCTGCATAAGAAATTTTTAGGCATAGACTGTAGTGCCCATTGCAAAGTGCAAACACGAAATTTGAAACAATTCGGGTGAATGGTGTCGCAAAAATCATCAAAATAACGATTATCGGGAGGTGCCGTTATATGGGGGCTATACAAAAACGTGGAGCGGCATAACATGCCTACTGGCAAAATACACATATATGCAAAATTTTAGCCTTCTATCTTAATTCGTTCGAAAGATAGCGTAATTACAACAGACAGACACACAGACAGACAGACAGACGGACATCGCTATATCGTCTGAGAATTTTACGCTGATCAAGAATATATATACTTTGTAGGGTCTATCATGAATATTTCGAGGAGTTACAAACAGAACGACAAAGCTAAAATACCCTCCATAGAATGGGGGAGGTTATAAAAATAGGTTCAGATATAATTACAGGGTGAAATGAAAAAACTGCAAACAACCTCAGACTCATTTCTAAGCCACTCGTCCGACAGCTGTTAAAATTATTCCAGTGACAGCTCATTATATTCTTAACAATCGTACAAAAGCATTTTGGTGAGAATTTTCCAGAAAAAAATGTTATTCGGAAAACCGTAAGTGGCTATCGCTAGAGCACTCCAGCATTTAAATGTGAATAAATCTTTTGTGTCTCGTACCATCTTTTGTATCTCGTACCGTGATTCTGGTAGCTTAACCCGACGTCAAGGAAGTGGAAATGGTTCGAAAAGTAAAGAAGCGAAACTCGCGTTGATCGAAACCCGCGTCGCTGTGGCCGAAAAATGGCTCATGAGCTGAACATAGCGCAATATTCCATTCGGCAAATATTGAAAACTGAGCTCGTTGTAAAGCCATTGAAATTCCAAAAAGTGGAGGGACTTACACTGCAACAGAATGAAAATAGACTCAAAAGAGCTAAAGAATTTGGTTTTCTCCGATGAGAAAACACTCGTTGTCCAGCAGTTTGTAAACACACAAAATAATCGTGTTTACCTGCCAAAGAGGTCAGCTGAAAATGTGCACCTTCGGCCACCAGAACTCAAGCGCCGGCCATGGTGATGGTATGGGCCGCCATAACAGGCGATGGTCGCTCTCCGCTCGTATTAATTGACCGTGACATCAGAATAAATGCCGAATATTATCGCGAAAATATTCTGAAGGGTGTACTAAAGCCTTGGGTATGCAAACAACAGCAATCAGCACCATCCCATTCAGCACGCGCCACCCAGGAATGGTTACAAAATGAGGTTCCTCGCTTCATTTCCAGTGCACAATGGCCACCAAAATCTCCGGCTACCAATCCGTTGGACTATTGTGTCTGGAGTATTTTGGAAAGCAAGGTTGGCACTCAAAAATACCAAAGTGTGGATCACCTCAAGCAAGCGCTTTGCCGGGAATGGGCCACACTACAGCAGAGCAACATTCGGGCAGCGTGTGACGATTTCATTGGCCGTTTGAAGGCCATAATTCGTGCCAAAGGTGACCAATTCGAACAAATCTAAACTTATTCTAAAATGTTATGCTATTTCCGAAATTTTATGCTTTCATTCAATAAAATTTTAAAATAAATGTGAAAATTGTTTGACTTTGTTGCAGTTTTTTATCTTACCCTGTAAATCTACAAATACTAGTGAGGTCGGTTGAATAATGTAGTTAAAGCGTTCAAAAAAATAAATAAATAAATAATTAAAAAATAAATTGCAGTAAGTTCGGCCGGGCCGAAGGTACCGTTATAGGGGGGCCTGCACAGACAATTTTCTGTCATAAGCTGTAGTATCCATTACGAGCTTCAAATGCCAAATTTGAAACAATTCCGGTGAATAATGCCGCTAAAATAATAATATATATGGGCTATATGAAAACGTGGACCTACATTACCCATTTACGAATTTAATCTGCCTACTGGCAAAATAAACCTGTGTGCAACATTTTAGCCTTCTATCTCAATTCGTTCGAAAGACAGACGGACATCGCTAAATCGACCTAGAATTTTACGCTGATATATACTTTGTTGCATTTGACATGAGTATTTCGAGGAATTACAAACGGAATGACAAAGTTAATATACCCTCCATAGAGTGGTGGAGGGTATAAAAAAATAGATAAATAGTAAATAAATATGATGAAGCCGTTAGAAAGTGTGATTTAAATCGTCAAATTACGGAACATCCGAATGTACCGTTATATCGGGGCCATACCGACCATATTGGACACAATACAAATTATTCTGTCTAATTTCAAAGCTCTACCTCAAATAATATTGGCTGCATCGTGGTTTCAACTGACAGACGGACATCCTGAAATCGAATTTTATGCTGATCATGAATATATATTTATATACTTTATGGGGTCTACGACGAATATTAAGAGAAGTTGCAAACGGAACGACAAATTTAATATACCCTCCTTTCCAAGGTGGAGGGTATAAAAAATATGAATTGGAGATGTTTTCCACTAATATGTATCTATGTATTTAACCTTTATCAGATTTGATTTTGTATCCGAACTTTAGGGACGAATAACCGGGTAACTGGGTATTTCCCCCACGAATAAATTACTTTAGCGTAAATAGGTTAAAAAATACCTATTCCATAATCGGGTTTATGTCCGCTATCGTTAGTGGATCTGTACATGCAATTTTCAGAAGTAGTACCCAATGCGAATTTTAAATTTCAACTAGGAAATAATACCGGTGGAAAGTGAGGTTAAAATGATTAAAATATCGAATACAGGAAGGTACCTTGATATGAGGGCTATAAGAAGGTGTGGTAAAATATATCGGCAAATGTCTGTTATAGAAGGTATTATTAAAGCGAGGTAGAAAGTGTGACACTAATCATCAAAATATAGAATATCTGGAGGTTATAGGGGACGTTCGACAAAGAATTTTATGCTGATTAAGAATATATAGACTTTATGGGGTCTATAATTTATAGCTTGGGTGATACGAACGGAATGATATACTGGACGTATTAAGACAATATTCTGCAACAATGGGTATAACCTTATATAAACTCTAAATATCGAATTAAAAATTATCCTGTTAGAAAATGTGGCTAAGATTTTCAAAATACCTGTATAGACAATGTTCTGCCACAGGACGTAGAACTCTTATGAAGTCTAAGTACCGAATTTTAAACAATTCTGTTAGAAAAATTTGACTGACATGGCCCATTTGCGAACTTAGCGCGTATGCTGACAAAATACTAATTTGGACCAAGAATTTGTATTGTAGGTAGGCTTATTGGGATTGAAAATGGGCTCTGTTTGTCCGCATTTAGGTATGGCCTCTATATAACTGTACCTTCAGATTTTCGGTATTTTTATGGTTTCTGTCACAATTTCCAACCAAATCAGCTGAAACTTGCAAAAAATGTTCGATTCAGGGTTTCTAATTGGAATAGTCCCCATATAATGGTACCTCCCGATATTCGGCATTTTTATAGTACTAGAGACATTATGGCCTGGAATTGTTTTAAATTTCGTATTTGAAGTTCTTAATGGATACTTCAACCGAACAGAAAAACAGAAAATTGCATACGCAGGCTCACGTTTTCGTATGCCTCACATGTAACTCCTCGAAATGCTTATATCAGACCCAATAAAGTATATATATTCTTCATTAGCGAAAAATTCTAAGTCGATTTAGCGATGTCCGTCAGTTTGTTGTAATCCGCTGTCTTTTGAACGAATTGAGATAGAAAGCTAAAATTTTGCACACATTAGGCAGGTTAAGATCTTAAATGGTCATGTCGGTCCACGTTTTCATATAGTCACCATTCAACGGTACCTGTAAATATTCAGCATTTTGATGCTTTAGCGACATGTTTTACAAGAATTGTTTCAAATTTCGTATTTGAAGTTCGTAATAGGTACGACAAGCTATGCCCACGTCTTCGTATAGCCCTCAATATTCGGTATTTTGATGATAATGTCGATAATTATTCACCGGAATTGTTTCAAATTTCGTCCTTGAAGTTCGTAATGAGTACTACAACTTACGACAGAAAATAGTCTATACCGATCCACGTCTTCGTATAGCCCCCATATTACTGTTTTCATTTAAGCGGTATTTTTGGGAATTTTTGAAAATGTTCAAGTTCCTTCTAAATTGTGGAAGGTATTACAATATTGGGTCGGTCGAACTCAGCTGTTTCTTACTTGTTACCTCTACTTTAAAAATCATCATATTTATAGCCGATTTGCCTGCCCGGATTATCAACAGAGAAAAATTCCAATAACACCAATAACAAAAAAA